ATGCAAGCAAGTATGGAAGAGCTTAATTTAAAACTGCTCGAAGCAAAGTTTTTAATGGAAAACTATTTCGATTGAATTAAATTTGAAAATTTTTAGAGTTAAGCTCACATATAAAATTGGTTTCAAATGTAAAATCCTACTTTTATAAGTGTAGAATAATGTTTAGGATAAAAAATTTAAATATAACAAGTAAGAAAGTCTAAGTTCGGGTGGAGCCGAACATTAAATACCCGGCGCAAGTATTAAATATTTGTTTTTTCACCTTTCCGAAAGCTACCGCTAGATGGTAAGCCGGGGTGTATCAATTTTGAGTAAATTAGCGTCCTTAAATTTCGAAATATTGCAGTTTCAAGCATTTCTGAAATTTACCGTTATATGAAAAGTGGCCGTAATTTTAGTCCGATGTGATCATAAGTGGGCGGTGCGCACGCCCATTTTCCAAATTTTACCATAAGCGTATTTCTTGGCAAAGAATTGTTGCAAGCATCAATTTTGAATAAATTAGCTTTAATATTTACTGATTTATCGAAGATTTCGTATTTCTGGAAATTACCGTTATATGGGAAGTGGGCGTGGTTACAGTCCGATTTCGCCCATTTTCAATACCAACCTACCTTAGATTAANGAGCATTTATGTATACATTTGTCTATATCTATCTCGATTTGGCTGTTACAAACAACCGTTATGTGAACAAAATTAATATACCCTTGTGCACAAGTGCGCTCGGGTATAAAAATAAACGCACAAAAGCATAAAACTTGGGCAATTAAAAACAAGAATATTGCTAAAACTATTTTATAAACAATTTGTTTTATTTCATTGACAAAATATATATATTCCAGGTAATGTAAGTAAAACAAAACTATAATCGAAATAGAAGCCTAGGGCATCAGTGCTGACAAGATGCATGCAAAACTAAGGGTTAATTCATTTGTTTATACTTTTTGACATAATAGTACCTTAAAAGAGAGCCGCACTGAATTGTCAATCACACCTTGTTTAATACACCTTGGTCGTAACCTTGTATTCTATGAACCCATGATTCAATAATTAAAGGTTTGCTCATTATTGACATTAGACTTTTTACACTCCCTTAGCTGCCTTACAAAACTTTGCACACACACACGAACCCCCACACAGTGCTTTGCTAAGGGAGCCGATTTTGTCAAGAGGGAGCGAGAAAACTGCTTTTTGAGCAAACCTTTTATTTTTAAATCATGCTATGAACCTTGCTTGGCACACTGTCTACACTGTGGCTCGAACTCTCTTGTAGCTAGTTATAATGTCAAAAAACTGTAAACAGACAAATTAACCCTATGAGGTGCGCATGCTATGTTTGCTACAAATTAGCATCAATTGAACCTCATCATGGAGAAATTATACCAGGTGTGTTAATAAGAGCGAGATGAAAGATTTGACCCTAACTTATTTGAAAATTTGCCTTTAAAAATTTTTATAAAATAGCCGCATGTCAGGAAAATAAAGCGAGAAAGCTTTTTTATTACTTCACCTGCTTATAATTTCACCATAGAAATGCATCAGTATAAATACATACATATGTATGTTCGTATACTAAATTTAAGGATTAATCGGTAATCGCTTTTAGTGGTAACATGTTCTAGACCGGAATTTTTTCGCTTCTTTTAGGCATTGCCGGTAATGCGAAGTAGAATGTCCTACAATGTTTTATTTATTTCGCTTCTTTGTTTCATTTCGGGGAATGCAAAGTAGAATGCTGCATCGTAGTCAGCTGAAAAATAGAATGAATATCCAAGAATTCTATTTCTACCGTTACTTTCTGTGGAAATTTGTCTCTCATAAAAATCATGTTTTGCTTTGTTCAATTTGCAGCGAAGTTGAAGTCAGTAAATGACGTGAAGTACAAGAGTGAGGAAGTACAATTTTAAGTAAAATCTAAATATATTAATGTATACATATGTATGTATAAAAAATGATTTGTAAAAATTTTAATTAATTTAAATCTTTTAAGACATTTTCTGATTTCAATTTAATATAAATAAGTATGTACTTATCTAGGCATTCTACATTAGTTTGTCTGAAAGGCATTCTTTGTTCGCTTCTCTGGATTCTTTTTATCCATGCGTTCTCCCATCGTTTGAAGGTAATACTGTGGGTAAGGGCTTACCCGCAATGATATGCCCATGTTAAAATAATGCCTTCTTGAAGCGAAAGGGTAAGCGATTCCCATCGCCTAGCTTGTTTCCACTTTCATTCCTGGGGTAATCGTGCTTTTTGCTGGAGGCACGCAAAGCTGAAGAGATGCGCAAAGCAAAAGAATCGCGCTTGGCTGAAGAAGCGCGTTTAGCACGTAAAGCTGAAGAAGACCGTTTGGAAGAAGAAGCTCGTTTAGCTGAACAATTACGAATGGAAGTAGAAGCTGCACAAAAAGCAGAAAAATCTCGTCTTGCAGAAGAAAAACGCCTACGAGAAGAGGAATTGAGTCGTTTAGCCGAAATCGAGAAACAAGCTGCGGAAGAACAGGAAGCACGCCAAGAATTACATGCTGTACAGCCAGCAGATGAATCAAGTTTCTCAGGTTTATATAGCATTGTTACAGCTGAAACTGTCATGGAGCAACCGGAAAGAGCCATCTCTGAAATTAAACAGGAACCAATAATTGAATTGTCCTCTCATATTGAGGCAATAAAATCTGAGGGTGATGCCGTAGTGGCTCCGGAGGAAGAAGATGCAGAAGAGTATAATATATCAAATATGTGTTCAATATGATTACTTAGCTGAATTTATTTAGAGCATATTAAGACGTACCTATTGTTCCTTCCTAACATGTCGCATTCAAATATATATGTATGTATGTATGTACCATGATTCAATAATAAAAGGTTTGCTCGGAAAACATTTTTCTCGCCCCCTCTTGACAAAATCGGCTCCCTTAAGCAGAATATAAACAATTAGACTTGTATGCATACTTGGTCGCATGTCAGTTCGGTATACACCTATGCGACACGTCCAAACTCCATTTCGCCGTAATCGTTGAAGTGAGCCAACATCACGGCATACGGATCTACGTCTTCCCAGCAAACATTTAGAGCCGCAAATTGGTCATAGTGGATTTTTATTGTCCTCACATATTGAAAACGCCCGGTTCTTAGATTAAAGTTGGCCCAATATACTCGCCTTTGATTATTAGCTTCGGTATCCGTGCTTTGGTTTGGGTTGCTCTCCATTAAATTCGGCTTAGCTCGAAAAGAAAAAATAATACGTCCACACGCTGTTGATGCTGTTTTCGAATTAATTTTATTCTTCTTATTTTTAAATGCAGTTATTTTTCTTCTTTCCAGTTCTTTCCATACAATTTCCACTTAAGGTTGAAACACATAGCTTAAAAACTAGTTGCATTACTTAAGGGCTAGACACATTACTTAAGAACTATTACAACATTGCTTAAGGCTGTTTACACAAAGCTACTCCTGCAACCCTGAGTGCCTTACATCTCGGCCTCCCTGACTCTTAGAATTTCCTGATTCTACGCCGGTTTTACATTGAAACAATGGCTTTAGGGTCGTAACCGACCAAGTTCCCTTTTAAGGGATTTGGGTCTGTTGGAATCCCTCAACATACTGTTCTAGGTAACGGTAATTTTGTAAGACTTCGACTACCTTGTAGGGCCCTTTAAACTTTGGTATAAGTTTACTTGAAACTCCTGGCTGAGAACTAGAATTCGACAAAGCAACATAATCCCCTACCTTAAATTTACGAGGTTGTAGTCGTTTGGCATCCGCGTACTGCTTATTATATTCCTGTGCCTTTTGTTGTACTAATTCTGCTTGGTGTCTAACATCCTTTATTGACCTAACATCGGGTGCCTGTACTGACTCTCCAACGTTTTCTTTGAGTGTATCTAAGACCTTTCCTTTTTGCCTAACTCCGAACGGCATTATGCTGTGATGTTCGCCAATCGCTTTATGCAATGTATTGTTCATTGCATATTCTACCGAATCTAACACTTTTTGCCAGCTGACGCTTTTTTCTGAATCGACCAACTTCGCTAACATTGGGCCTAGGCTCCTATTGACAATTTTCCGTTCGCTTGGGGGGAGTTAGTCGCGACTTTAATATGATGAAAATTTTCGAACTCGTTAGACGTGAAACAGGTTCCCCTATCAGATACTAAACATTTGGGCCTGCTGTACGCGCGAAAGTAATCTTCTAGCGACGTGATCGCTTCTTTTCACGCTGTTGTTCTTGCTGCATATAGCCGAACGAACTTTGTAAACGCATCTATTATTACCAATACGTGTTTGTATTTTGTACTACTACTGTGGATCGGCCCAAAGTGATCAATGTGCACCATTTCGAATGGTCTATTTCCTTTGGGGACCATATTAACAAGTCCCTCTTTCCTGCCGTGTTTGGTGGAGAACGCTATGCACTTTAAGCAATTTTCTACATGAGTATTTGCTTTCTTCCTAATATTTGGGAAGCAGTAACTTTTACTGACCGTTTCCACAACTTTCTCAACACCTATATGCCCTAACTCATCATGGTACTTGTACAGGACATGCCCTTCCATTGCTTCTGGTACGTAAAAATATAAGTTACTATCCTTTTTTTTATAGACCACTCCATTCCTCATTTCGTAGTAGCTACTTTCTGCGGACTCTAACTGCTTTTTGAGGTTCTTAATTTTTTCGTCTTTACTTTGGCAAATAATTAGGTTTTCTTCGAGCGTATTAGTATATACTGTCAACACGTTATTTGTTCTACTTAACGCGTCCACGTGCTGCATTCTTTTGCCAGACGTATGTTCCAGTTCGTAGTCGTCGTTCTGTAGTTCAAGTGGCCACCTAGCAATTCGGGGATTTATGTCTTTCTTGTTAAGTGTCAGCATCAACGAGTTACAATCCGTGATAATTTTAAATTTGATGCCTTATAAGTACACTCTGAACCTTTTTAGCGCGTAGATTATCGCTATCGTTTCTAACTCAAAACTGTGATAACGAGATTCGACATCAGTTGTGCGCTTTGAGAAATAAAAAATTGGATGTAACTTGTTATCTTTCTTTTTTTGGAGCAGTATTGCCCCGATCCCAAGGCGCTAGCGTCGCAGTGCAGCTCTGTGGCATTACTGGGGTCATAAATTGCTAATACTGGAGAGTTAACTAGCTTTTCTTTAAGTGTATCGAAGACTTCTATTTCCTTCTGTCCAAACTTAAACTTTTCTTCTTTCCTCAAAAGATCATAAAGCGGTTTCGCTATTATAGAAAAATCTCTTATGAACCTGCGGAAATATGAACAAAGTCCTCAAAAACTTTGTACTTCTTTTTTTATTTTTTTTTTATTTATTTAAATTCATTTTTCTTAATACTGAGTATGCTTATACATAAGTACAGTGGATAGTTTTCGATATTTTATAATATTAAGAAAAAGGTTGGTGGCATTTTATTAATAAGTAAAATATTAGTTTTAAATGCCATTTCATACATACATTTGTAGTTGCAATTATGTGTGGGGTGTGATTTGGAAAATGCAATGTATGTACATATGCACGACAAAAAATAATGATATACATGAATAAATTACAAAATTATTTAAAAGTATAATAAAAGTATAACAAATAACTGTTTTTATGAAAATCAGTGTCTTGCTGAGGTATTGAAATTTACCATAAAGGATTATTGGAGAGTAAAACCCGGACGTGAAAGTGACCGAGCTGACCGTAAGGGCTCACACATTGACCAGTAGGGGCCAAAAGTTTAAGCAAAGACCGACATGACCAGGCAGGGTCGCTGAACAAAAACGAAATGTCTCATGGTTAAACGGAAATTTATTAAATAACTGGTTTAAGCAAAATTTCGGCCTCATGGTGATTAAAATTTAGTAAAAATGCTTTCATTTGCTTCAAGAATTCACGTAGGTTTCTTATGGCGCGTATATTAGGAGGAAGGCTGTTAAATAACTTACAAGATACAAAAGTGTAGAAGTTGCGATAATGTGTTGTCTTTATGGCAGGAATAGAAGCAACGGATTGGAGATTCCGTCTCAAGTAATAATTATTAGAAGCATGGCTTTGTATGTAGCCAGATCTTACGAAAAATATTTTTAATACCTTGTAAAAGTATAAATGTCGCATCGGAAGAATTTTAAGCGTTCTAAAAAATTCAATGGAATGCTCACGAGATTTTGCCTTGAATATTTTTCTAATAACATTCTTCTGCAAGATCAAAAGAGGTGTTAATTTGTATGCAGAGGCACCTCCCCAGCAGCTTATACCATATTGCAGTTTGGAATGAAATAGAGCAGACATGGGCACTTTTGCCCGTATGGGCTTTTTTGCCCGTACGGGCAAGCGAGCCCATTTCGCGGGCTGGATCAGGGGAAAATCATGGGCAAACGGGAAGGGGGCAACAAATCTTACTAATACACGTATAGCATTGAGAGCCACTGCACACGCATTCTGAAGTAAAAAGGCTCACTCTTCCAAACGTATGCCACATACACTCCTCGTCATTTGAATAGCTCAACTTTTTAATCTTTAGTATTTACTCTTTTAATTTTTTTTTATTTAATATTCATTACATCCGATTTTAAAACTTAATACAGAGTTAAAAAAATGTCAACAAAGGGGTACAATAAGGTGCAAGTTTCAAGTGTCTGTAAAATAGCGGTGATTTTTGACAATTTTTTTGGTGATAGTGCTGCGCATTTTCTCTCATACAAAGTATGCTTGACAAAACTTTTATATGGAATAAAATGCGCAGCACTGTCAATAAAAATTAAATGAATTTGAAAAATCGGGGCTGTTTTAGAGTCACTTAAAAACTTGCACTTAATTACACTATAATTGAATGGGCTACAAAAAAGACACATAAAAAAATTTCAGCGTCAAATACTCTTAACATACTTCGCCAAAGTTTTTATAACCATCTTTTTTTGCAATATTTTTTTAAACGCTTTTTTTCACCGTCAAAACACCTTTATTCGTATGTAGTGACGATATTTTTACAAAAAATGTATATTAAATAAACAAACGGAAAACTGTAAATACTAAGAATTGAAAGGGTGTGCAATTCAAATGACGAGGAGTATATATGAGCAGATGTGATCACTACCACAAGTAAACGCGAGCTGAAAGCGTGATTGTGTTAGTGTGCCAATTACGTTTGAATGAATTTGCGTTCGCTTTGTTACGCTCTCGCATGTATTTGCATGAGATGTTTACGCTCTTTAAGCATGCTTGTTTTTCAGTGCGCGCCAAAAAGAGAAAAGTCTTAAAATGAGAATGTATTAGTTATGAAACAAAAAATGAGAATGTGTTGGTGGTAATGCACGGAAATAATTTCTGTGTTGTATTACTTATTATAAAAACTTTGGTATGTTTTTTTTGCCGTTTTTTTCATTGTGCGCTATTTTTTAGATCTAAACAACATCGAAACATATAATGAAAGTTAACGGCCCTAAGAAAGGAAAAAGTTGGTAAAATTTTGTATGTATTGTACAAAATTATTATTATTTTTTTATAATTTAAGTGTGGATTTCTGAGCAAAAAAGATAACGTGCTTCGAGCACTCTGAATATTAAAAGAAAATTTCGTTGATTTCAAGTAGAAATAAAATAAAAATATATATATCTAATATTATTATTATCTAATTATTATTATAATTTATTTTAAAATTAGGTAAAACTTGACATTTAAGAACAATTTAAATTAACGATTAAACCAAAAGATAAATAACAAAACATATTGTATGTTTTAATTGAGGACTAGTCTGGTATTAAAAAAAATACATAATTCACAAAGTTCTTTTAATATGAAGAAAAAGCACG